TTTTTTGGAAAAACACTTGGACAAGTCAATCTTTATTTCTGATTGCAGTTTTTTTCATGGTACACAGGTAATTGTAGCTGTGTTTCATGTAGTTAGACCAATTACAAAATTACAAAATATCTAGATAAACTGCGCTTTACCCAAATGCTGAGAGCTCAAATATGCTAGTAGATTCGGTATGGATCCAACAAGATGGAGCACCCCTACACTATTCGCGAATAGTACGAAATTAACTTAACAATAAAAATCACTAACTTTTTGTAGGTACCCTGAAACCTAATCCCTTACAGTCAATATCATCATCATAAGATCGTTAATCCTAAGACTGATTGGACACGCACCTCTACTCTTTCCTATTCTCAGTTAATCTTCGCATTTCCCTAAAACTGGAACAACCCACATCCTTAACTGTTTGTGTAACAGTAATCTAATCTAGGTCTACCTCTACCCCTCCTAACTCTTGTTTCTGCCTCTAATATGCCTCTGACTAGACCTTCATGCCTGAGAAGGTGTCCTACCAACCTGTCTCGCCTATTTTTTATTGACTTCCTCTGAGTCCTCTGTTCTCCTACTCTTTCTAATACCTCTTCATTTCTAACCTTCTCTATCCACGGTATCCTAATGATTCGCCTGCAACACCACATTTTGAACACTTCTAACCTTTTCTTTCCGCAGCGCCCACCGTCCATGTTTCGCACCCGCACAGCGCCGCGCTCTAAACATACACCTTTAACAACCTTTCTCGAATTTCTAAATTAACCGTTCGCAAGCATAGAAGTGACTTATTTTTATTGAAGGCGACTTAACCCTGCGCTATCCTTTGTTTTATATCCCGACGGCTCCTTCCAAGATACCTAAAATCAGCCCCTTATTCTAATTTTTCTTGTCCTACCTTTATATTCGCTCTTTCCTTACTTTTTCTTCCTTTGCATACCAGTATTTTCGTTTTACTTTTGTTTATTTTCATGCAAAACTGTTCTGTCAATATCAACTTATATAATAAATATGTATTAGATATGTAACCAAATGAATTCTTTTTAAGAGAAACAAGTCCAGAAATTTTAGATACAAATAAGCCGAAAGAATTTTGCTTATATAATAATTAATGGTACGAAACTTTTTTATACGAGATCAATTTCCGTATATTTTATCCTTGCGCATCACGTTCAATACTTCAATTAAACCGAAAATAAAGAAGTAGGTGTACGTACGAAAATTGACGCTATTTTCGTCATGCCACGCCACTGAAGCTGCACATGTGGATCGATCCTTCCTTTTTTATGAAAGCAATGTCACGGCCTCGTATGTTAAATTTTAATTCACCTCGCAACGAAACAAAAAGGCCCTTGTCGAACACAGAATCGCCAAAAGAAATCAAATTTCATGCCGCAAAATTTCGTCAAATGTTTTTGGCTGTTCGTGAAGAAGTTGGTAATAAATACCATGATGTGGGTGTGTAGGTACCATATGCATCTTTAATTTTTGATTAAACATCTTAATTCTGTTACTTTTTTACGAAATCATCACTACTATAAACAGAAGACTTCGTGTAAAAAATTTAATTAGCAATTAATGATGAAGTAGGAACTCATACGTCCTAGTACCCGACTGGAAATTAGTTAGTGAATTGGATCCGATGCGGATCAGAATTGCCTGAAGATTGATCAGGCTTTCTGATCCGGGTATGATGGAAAATCGTCATATGATCAAGATAGGATCCATCTGAAAAATCCATGTCGGATCTGTTTCTAAGATCCATGACGGATCCGTTTCTAAAATCCATGACGGATCCGTTTCAAAGATCCATGCTGAACCCATTCATCAGATTCATTCCCGATCCACCCAAAAGATTCATGCCGGATCCGTTTAAAGGATCAGGATTATTTTTTTCTTTTTATTAATTTGGCATAAAATAATTAAATCAATATTACCTACCATTTTACCTTAATTTTATTAATGAACTCAAGTACACTTTAAATCACACTCAACTATAGTTGAACCCGCCAAAATTGAGATGGATGGTGCATGGCAGTTACATTTTAATCTTGGTGATCCACCATACCATTCAAACCATTTTAGTCTATATATATGGCATTTATCACTGGTTCATACCATTTTACTTATGTCAATATGGGAAACTTTTCCCACCCTAACCTAACCGAAATCCTTGGCGCCTACTACTTTACATTTCTTCATAAGCTCGTCAGTCGTAAGACTGGTTGGACACGCATCTCCACTCTTTCCTATCCTGAGTTAATCTTCGCATTTCTTTAAAACTAGAACAACCCACATCCTTAACTATTTCCGAACAGTAATCTAATTTAGGTCTACCTCTACCGCTCCTAACTCCCGTTTCTGCCTCTAATATGTCTCTGACTTTACATCTATAAATAAGGAAATCCTCTCTTACCATAACCTAACTCAAACTCATGATGCCATAGCACTCTACACTACTATATCTATGTCAGTCTGTTATGAATTTTCAAATTAATAAAATGTAAACTGTATATTGACAAATGTACTACAAAAGTTTAAAATATATAGGAGGCCCAATTAATGAAAAAACGTTGACAATAGTGTAGAAATGAACTTGCTAGATTGTCCGAAACAAACTGATTTTTCATACAAGATGATTTGCTGATCCGATGTGGGCATTCTTTATTAATTAATTACGATTTCTTCAACATTTACAGTACCTATCTCTGAGGAAAATCTTTAAATCTTTAGGTTTTTCATCATTCGGGATTTTTTAGTGGCATACATACAAGAAATTTGTAGAGGACCCTGTATGTCTTTTATGATAAACTTACTTAGGTACGTATTATTGCGACGCGTCGCCGTCGTCGCCTGGAAGAAACAAAAACAATCTAGGCTTCAACTATCTGCATTTGCGACAAAAATCGTTACTCGAGGAAAGAAAGACGAGCGAGCCATCGAACGAACGAAGCAAAGCGAATCCGAGAGCTGGTTTGATAATACAGCTTCGTCATCAAAATTCAAAAAAGGAGCACGAGCTACGATAAAAAGTGGGAACGTTTTTAAATACAAAATAGTAATATCGAGTCAGCCGAGCATGAAATTGAATAAAGTTTGGCAAAGACGCGTGTGTAGGGAAACAGAAATCGAATTAAAATCGCGACAAACGTCACCTTGCACCGCTACACTTTTTGCACGGCGTTTGCATTACATTTCGAGAAATTTATGTCACTCGCAACGAGAATTTGTAGAAATACATTTCGTCAACGTGAGAAATATTACTTATTATTATTATAAGACAACGCTTATGGTATTTCATTTTGTAATACATACATACATACAGCATGACATTTATCTATTAGGTTTAAACATGAAGAAAATTAGAAAATTAAAAAAAACAAAAAACATCATAATTATTGGAACAAATTTAAAAATTTTCCAATATAAATCCTAAAAAGTCATGTTTATTGAATGGCTATAATCTTTACCTTTCCCTAAAAGTAGAATATCCCATATTCCTATCTGCGAAAATTAATCTAATCTAGGTCTTCTTCTGTTCCGCTCTAATCCTAAATGTAATACCTCTAATATCTCTCCTCTAACAAACCCTTCATGTACCAGAAAGTGTCATACCATCCTATATCCTTTTGCTTATTGACTTCCATAACGCTCTTTGTTCTTCTGCTACTTCATACCTCCTCATTTCTATCACTTTCTATCCACAGTATTTCCACCGTCAAACGTGTGTAACTTTTCTATTCCACTGCGACCTGGTGTAAGTAAAAACTTGACTATGATTGTTTTAAAATTTCTAGATTAATCGACCGTTGAGTCAAATTATTAACACGTAATAAAGAACTCAAGTTCCTGGTCTAGAATAAAGGTTGAAATTTTTTTGTAAAGACATAACATTTTTAATTGGAACTGACAAAAAGAAATGTTTCATTATTTAGTAAGAAATTGTATAATGCAGCTTCTAATAACATTCACGCCTTTCTTTGCAACAACACTTTTTGATATTTCAAATCTCCGGAAAGTAATTTAAAACCGTTTTGCGTGCTTTGTTCGAAACTTTCATTCTCCCTTCGTCATTTCACAATCCGACTGCGGAGATTTTGGTTTTAATTTTGCCATTTCATCGTGTTTGGGATCAGCCAAGTGACAACAGAATAACGAGGCGAGAAATTGAAACAGTAAAGATAACATCTCGCTAAATAGCCGCGGGTTAAATCCGTGTTAAGGATAATGGCATTTCTGTGGAACTAAATTAACTCCCTTCGCCCCTACTAAGCGGTTTGTCTGTCTGTCCATTTCCCTACGGCACCCCAATGGGGCTATGACGCCACTCCACTCATTCACTCGCCAGATACGATTCTAGTCGACTTGTTCTCCACGTGATATTGTTGTCACCTCTTGATGCGTTTATTCGATTTGCATTTCATTTTCGTTCTGCGATTCCTCTTCGAAGGGGTGACGATTCTTAAACGTTTCACGACACTTTCGTCCCAATTTGCTTTCTTTTCGTAACGCGATGTGATGCTCTCTAAAAACATTTGCTCTCTTCCCACATCGACTTAGTTTTCATATACTAATAGTTACCAACTTTATCCAAAACACGGTTTCTCAAATATAATTTTAATAATGAAAAAGGAAAACTAACAAGAAATGTTTCTACTTCTTCATATTTTGCAGTTGCAGTAACCTTGGATATAGATTACAGCTTCTAATATTTAAATTAAATAAACGTGTAGTTACACTTGAGATTCGAATGCTTAATTAATTTAAAAACAGAAAAGAAATCTTTTAATTAAAAAAACAAAAACAGTAATATGCTCTTTCAACACATTTCATAGTTATTTACGCATTCTGAGCGGAGTTTTACACAATATATGTTGAATAAAATTATCTGTTATCTCTCAGAGAGCAGACTATACACTATATAGTGGAAATCCAATACGATCGAATCTACTTTGGATAAAACACCTTTTGTATGAGAAACTGGAGATTGTTTATATTTAGAGTAGCTTTTGTTGCAGATTCGTTAGCTCAAGAACTAGAAATGGAAAGGAAATCGCGCCAGCAGGCAGAACGGGAAGTGAAATCACCGCTACAGGATCGTTCGAGTTATTACAAAAACTCAGTGTTGTTCACTAGTAGTGCAACATAAACATGGTTTGTGTTAAATTCATAGTATTAATAATAAATTATTATTATTCTATTTAACAAAATGAATAACTGATAGTGCGTAGGTAGGTATAAAATACGATTGTAAAAATGCTTATCATTTCTCATGCATTTAATACCTAAAATACGATAATATATTTAAGTATAAGTTTTCGTCGGTAGTACTTACATATAAACCACGTTTTCTCAAAACTTATTAAAAATCCTCGTACGAACATTGACCGTGCCGCTCTTCAAAGAACTGAAAACAACCGACACCTAGTTTATTATTAATATACAGAGTGTCCCACTCGTCAGTGAACGAACAATCGTACAGTTAGATCGTGATAAAATAGTTTGACACATGTTTTTGTTTAATTCTATTATTCGTTGCATATCAAAAATATATGAATTTTCATTTTCTTTCAATTCGGAAAAACTACAAATACCTATTGCGTGTATCTGTGTGTAAAAATGCTAATTATGGTAGGTAAATGCCCTTTTAAGGGTTTCATCGTATTTGCACATCGAATAAATCCGCATTACGTGTTTATTTTATTAAATAATTGGATGATGCCCTTTCACAAATTATTACTTACAAGGTTTCCACATACATACCTACGTATGTATTATCTACAGTCAACCTAAATGATATATATATATATATATAACTATGCAGAGAGTAGACGTCGTTCGCACATACGAGGGTCGTAATTCCGCCGATGGTCATATTTTCGCGATAGTTACTCATTATTCTCATTAAAAACAAATTCAATTTCATTCATAACCACTGTCAGATAATTCATTTATATAAAACCAATTTATTTACTTCAAAATATAGAGTTCTTACCCTATTTTGAGGGATGAATCAGCCGTCCTTTGCAGTTGAATACGTGTTGTTACTCATTCTGCAAGTTTACGTAAATGAAGAAATCCTTTTAAACTAACAGCTCTTTTAATCGAAATGTAGCACGCAGTTTTAGAGAACCATTCCAACCATCTAGGTATATTAACTTCCTAAGTATTGAAATTTTTTAGTGACAAACGTCACCACCTTACACATGAGCATTTACAATAGTTGCTGGTTATTTATCATAGTATCCAGTGAAAGGTATGTATTTGTACCACGGTTTCTACAACCAGCAGCAACCAGCCTAAATATGCGCCCTGATAAAGACATCATGTTTGTGCCAACGACGTCCGCTCCCTATTAATAACAAAATATTTAAATTCGGATGGTGAAAGTCCACCTGATTGTGAGTAATAATATTTTATTCTTTATTAAATTGTATTTCCTTTCGAAATTATTTATCTTAAGAATCTAGAAGTTTGTATGTTACAAAGACACCTTTTATACATGGAATTCAAAGTTTCTATTTCTTCAATTTCTTCAGTCATTTTTTTCCTCGTTTATCAAGCTATAGGTAAGATTCACCTACTGAGAAAACGATAACTTTTAAATGAAAACGAAGAAAAAGTTTTACAGAATGTCTTTAAATACATTTGAGATCAACAAAATCTTTTGTGTACGTTGCTTTACGATATTTGAATATTTTACACCGAGTTTTTATAGACGATTGATCAACTGTATTTGTTTATTCTTTTAAAGTATTTTTTATTGACTAGCGAGTCGGCTACTGTTCTGTTTAAATAGAAATTGAAGCTCCAGAATTGTATATAGATTCATGATTTTATATTACATATAAGAGAACAATATAACGAGAATAATAGTAATATTCATAATAATACGATAATAATAAGAATGATAAATGGAAGTACTTTTGTAAATGTAGGTTAATAAAATAAATTGTAGATTTTTTTTATATTTGTAAACAGTAATTACTTCATTGGGTCTCAATTTCATATTTATATTTTACACTCTTCCTATTTGTGCATTGCATTGAAGTTTTTGTAAATTTTACTCTCGTTTAAAGCAGGAAAATGTGTTATTTGAAGTATGTATACGTTCTAAGACAATCAATGTCGCGAAAACAGAATCCCATTTCTGTATATTTCTAATTAGGTGACTATTTGTTTTCTGGATGCACAAGACAGCTCAAATTTGTCATTTTGGGAATCATTTTTGAGGTTTAGGGGTTGGCGTGGAATAGAAGCCCAGAATCACTTGGCCCAATAGATAAGTTGAAATCAAGTCCGAAATAGCAATAACATATCTTTATTTAGAAAGTTTACGTACTATAATTTCTGCTTAATTCTAAACAGGTGTAGTAACATGCAAAAGGGAAAAATTAATGTACGCCGCGAGCTGTAAGAACGTCGCTACTAATAAGTTGTGCTCCGGAATTAGTTACTTATGATGCCGTTTGGACCATAAAACCTTATCCAACTGATTAACTTCTGTTATATTATATATTACATTAAAATGGCTCTTATTTTTTTTTTATAAAGTTATATTAAAGTTTAGTAGTTATTAATTAAATGCTTCTTTTGTCTTTGAAAATAATCATTTCACATCTGCACATTATTGTAAATTAAGGGCCGTGCCCAACGATGTGATTCTGGGTTCATATTTAATTGTTAATCTAAAAGCTTCATTTTTATGGAAAATACCTCTCAGGCGCTAGCAGTAATGTAACATGTACGATAAATTTGAGCTAGTCTACATGCCACTGCATTTACGATTAAGTAAAGGGCTTAATTTTACGATAAAATCATTATATTAACGTACTAAATAATACCATTTTATAATGGAATTCAAAAAACCGTCTGGTTATTAGAACATGTGCAATACTGATATAGGGTCGTCTGCGACAAACGACCCTGACTACATGAATAACATGTGTATATGTATACATATACATAGTTTTATACTTTGAGTTTTGACCGTTCTTCGGATTTAAAAAAATTGTAGATGTCTGAGAAAAATGTCGAACCCGATTGGGCGCATGTCTGTATTTATTGTATATATTACGTGTTTGTGAGTGTGTGCCTTGTAGAGGATGTTCAATAAACTTGTAAAAGACAAAAACCTTTTTATTTTTTATGTCAACCCCCTTCCGTATAAGTAGGAAATTCAAATGCCTTAATCTTTTTAAATAACATCCATTATCCATAGTAAAGATATGTCACTAAATAATCAAAAAACTAAATTTCATTCTGGTATACACATGTATGTAAGAAATAATAATAATAATAATACGTGTGTAAAATGCATATTAATGCGTAATTAATTTTTTTGATAATTCCGGAAAGACAAAGACTCACAATTTCCTGTCAAACGCCTGCTTATTGCCATCTACCGTTTAAGATACTAATGACAATTATTCAGAACATCTCAACTAGGTGTTTTTGGAAGAGCTTTTTCACCGACAAAATATAGTAAGACAAACAATTGAAAAACTTTTCGCCATCGGAGACCACCTAGCTGCTACATGACGAAAATATGCAGGTAAGTTTTACAATATTCAACGCTTTCATTATTTATGTAAAACTAAGTTGTAATAAATTTACTTACCTATTCCGTAGTTCCGATTTTGATGTGTTTCAACACTGAATTCTCCCTTCCTGAAAAAAAATATACATCTTAGTACAAATTAATTACTAATTACAACAAGGATAACTGATTTAATCTAATATTATTCTTCGAAACTGAAACAATAAAATTTATTTTGTGGTGCAATTAAACAAAGAAAGGAATAAGCATCTATAAGTTTCTGGAGTACCTTCTGTTCTCATCGGCACGTGACAGACAGTTGCGACAGAATAACGACCCACTAATGCCGGTGGACGGACAGTCCATTCGATCTGCACACTAATGCAAAGCCGGAGGGTAGGGCGGATTACCCTCTTCAGTCTCTTAAGATTCATAGGAAAGACAGACGAAATAAAGACAGAAGTGAAGTGAACGATCTGTGTGATATAGATAACTACCCTAGCAATTACTTAAGTGATACAAGAACTTCACAGAAAATCTTGGGTCAAGTCAGACGGATCCGGAATCTAACCGATATTCCCCTGAATGCTAAAGCAGAAGTTAGCTACTAGCAAGATTAATAAGTACCTGTAGGAAACCTAGTAAACGCCACTAGTTATAGGTTCAATAATATATTAATTAACTCTTTTAGAATTAAGTAAAACGACTTATTAAACGTAACAAAAAGAAATGAGCATATAGTACATATAGAGGGAAATCAATTAACACCATACGTACATCAGACAAAACTTTAAATAAAAGTAAATGTTATGGCTGAAACTACCTCAGTGCCGGCCTAGAGGAAGTTAGTAAGTCAAGCACCCTTTAGGAGCGCCAACGTATAAAGGTTTCGTAAACGCTAACTAAAGACCATATGTAGGTATTAAGGCTACCTACTCTGTTACCTGTCAATATGCAATTAATTTATGTCATTTTTACGTACAGACCAGTCCAGTTCTAATGCTAACTAATAAATTAGTCAACTGAATTAATTAGAGGAAAAAATAATTAAAACATCTTTACATAAAAAAATCAACCACTGAAATCAATAGATATGGTCTCATTAGCGAGTTTGTGGCAATGTACAAGTAGATACCTATTCTTTAACTCTCCCCGAACTGCGCCAGTAATGATAAATTAAAGGTTTTAATTAAAAGACTCCCCCGTTGCTGTTGTTATTTGTATTCGAGGAAAATATTAAACGGGACATTTTCTTTTCGCGAAAGCAATATCTGAAATTCAGTTGATTAACAAACCGGGAGCGTTCTGTTTAGGGTTGATAATGAATCCCAAAAGAAATATCTATTAAAACTTTTGGTTTCAATGAAGCAGTCGCCGCCATCTCCGTCGACACGGCAAAAGACCAAGGCGGCTATTGTGATGTTCAATAGGGCAAACACATCACCTCAATTAAAATGTAATAAGAATCTTCACTTCAGTACGAAACTCATTAACACAACACGCGAAAAGGCCCCTCTGATAAATTGATATTACCAATAGACGTTGTTATCGTACTGATATGAAAGTTTTCAACTTCACCCATTCATCGAAATTATCTGTCTCCATCATAAAATTATCAACATTTTAATTTTTAAGAAAAATTGACTATCGCTGTTTGCAGTTTATCTGAAGCTTCATCCCTGATTGTATTACGAGGCACATAGTCGAGTCAATATTTTTGGAATGAACAATATGAATGCTATAAAGTCGCGTTTCGTGACCAGAGATCAACTCTATCTGCTGCCTTTAAACAAATTTTATAAATTATTACAAACAGTGTAATGATTGCCATCTGTGGACGGTTTCAACAGAATATGGAGCACCATGAACTTTTTGTTCTGTTGCTTTTTGCTTGATACTTCTACACTTAACTTATTTTTATATTTTGTGGTAATACTTTGCCAATTGAACGCTAACGAGTGCAGGTAATCATCATCAACCAATCATTTCGTACAATTGACTTGTTCACGTATCAGCTAATACGAAGGTCACGGATAGGTATGTGCGTTTCGTCGAAAGCCGATAAGATGACGCGGTAACTGTTCTTAATAATTGACTTCTTATTAACTGGGGTAATTTATGTACACACCTTTTACATCCCCTACGTTGTGGTGCTATCACGAAATGTACTTTACAGTGCCATCAGATGTTACCCATTAAATATTCCAGAATACTGATCAGACATAGTGTAAAACGAAACGAAAGACGCTATAAGATCTGCAGCAGTATTGGCCGCAAGCAAGGAGGAGATATAGAAAGCACAATTTACCAATACTGAGTTTTTTTATACATTAATTTTTGTGAAGTTTATTCGAATTTATCATATTAGTTCGAAAATGAGTGTATCATTTCAATGCAGTTTATTTTACTTTCTAGATTTTATTCTTGGTCACGTATGGTTGACAGCAATTCATCTATTCTTTACTTTTTCAATTTTACAGAATTTAATTGAAACGTTCTTCTTACATTTACTTATCGCTAAAATTTGCAAGTTTAAGATAATTTTATAATGATAGAATGTTAAAATATACGCACTGTTTGTGAAAATATCGACAGACGAACGCCCAGTAGATGATGTTTCTCCTTGTTGGACAGTTATTTAATATCGGTTTGAAATCGAGTTTCCCCTATCTGATATACGCATCTGTAGGGAAGGTTTCTTGGATTTTTTGATTGAAATTTAACGAATCATTCTGCGGAATAATGATGATCAGTCGAACATTTTTTAGAGTAATGGAATTTGCTGACCGAAATTGGAATTTGGAGAGGGATATACAAACACTCGTCCTTAAAATTCCACAAATATCGAGTATACAAACAATAACACTAACTTTCTTTTGTTTTTCTATTTACTATACAGTATATAGTAACTACTCATCATTCAAGTATGTAGCAATCCGTATACTCGTATTCAGATAATATAGGTATTTAATTTTGTAATTTAACTTACACATATGGGGATGAAAATTATTTATAAGAAGTGCACAAACAGCGAAGAAACGAGAGCAACTTACTCAAGACCGGTTTGAAAACGGCAAGTAAAAGTAGGTATAATTAAAAAATCAACAGTGAAAATTATCCTACTTGTGATATAATGGCAACAAATTTCCATTGTTTTTCGTGAAATTCCTTTCGAAGAACAAGGATAATAATTTCGATTAACAACGTATAAAATACGATTGTAAAAATGCTTATCATTTCTCATGCATTTAATACCTAAAATACGATAATATATTTAAGTATAAGTTTTCGTCGGTAGTACTTACATATAAACCACGTTTTCTCAAAACTTATTAAAAATCCTCGTACGAACATTGACCGTGCCGCTCTTCAAAGAACTGAAAACAACCGACACCTAGTTTATTATTAATATACAGAGTGTCCCACTCGTCAGTGAACGAACAATCGTACAGTTAGATCGTGATAAAATAGTTTGACACATGTTTTTGTTTAATTCTATTATTCGTTGCATATCAAAAATATATGAATTTTCATTTTCTTTCAATTCGGAAAAACTACAAATACCTATTGCGTGTATCTGTGTGTAAAAATGCTAATTATGGTAGGTAAATGCCCTTTTAAGGGTTTCATCGTATTTGCACATCGAATAAATCCGCATTACGTGTTTATTTTATTAAATAATTGGATGATGCCCTTTCACAAATTATTACTTACAAGGTTTCCACATACATACCTACGTATGTATTATCTACAGTCAACCTAAATGATATATATATATATATATATAACTATGCAGAGAGTAGACGTCGTTCGCACATACGAGGGTCGTAATTCCGCCGATGGTCATATTTTCGCGATAGTTACTCATTATTCTCATTAAAAACAAATTCAATTTCATTCATAACCACTGTCAGATAATTCATTTATATAAAACCAATTTATTTACTTCAAAATATAGAGTTCTTACCCTATTTTGAGGGATGAATCAGCCGTCCTTTGCAGTTGAATACGTGTTGTTACTCATTCTGCAAGTTTACGTAAATGAAGAAATCCTTTTAAACTAACAGCTCTTTTAATCGAAATGTAGCACGCAGTTTTAGAGAACCATTCCAACCATCTAGGTATATTAACTTCCTAAGTATTGAAATTTTTTAGTGACAAACGTCACCACCTTACACATGAGCATTTACAATAGTTGCTGGTTATTTATCATAGTATCCAGTGAAAGGTATGTATTTGTACCACGGTTTCTACAACCAGCAGCAACCAGCCTAAATATGCGCCCTGATAAAGACATCATGTTTGTGCCAACGACGTCCGCTCCCTATTAATAACAAAATATTTAAATTCGGATGGTGAAAGTCCACCTGATTGTGAGTAATAATATTTTATTCTTTATTAAATTGTATTTCCTTTCGAAATTATTTATCTTAAGAATCTAGAAGTTTGTATGTTACAAAGACACCTTTTATACATGGAATTCAAAGTTTCTATTTCTTCAATTTCTTCAGTCATTTTTTTCCTCGTTTATCAAGCTATAGGTAAGA